TTTGGATAGTTACGATGTCGGTCGGTTGCAAAAAAAATTTCTTGAGGATGTTTTCGTAAAGTTTGGAGCAGACAGGTTTAACAATAACGCGTTAATCTTACATTTTTTAAACTTTTAAAAAACATTTCAAAACACTACAATAAATTTCAAACAACCTTAATAATGTTATGCTTAATTCTTTGTAAAACATTTTATCATCAAGTGAATAATTTTAGGCAAGCTTGGCGCGTTATTTAATCTTCAAATATTAAATTATATCACTAGGTTTGTCAACTTACAGAGGTAAAAAACAGCGAGGAACATCGATTCATATATTCAGTTTTGTAATTTCACACTTCAATTTCCTTTTTTTTTATCATTTGACAGTCTTAATTTTAACGAGACTGCTTGTATCAGGGTGAAGCCCTGAAGGTTTGAACTGCCTTTTAAGGTCTATGAAGCAGTAATAACACGAAAAAATTAAATGTAATAAAATAAAATTAACTTTTTTTTCTTCTAAATTTGAGATTTTTTGTGAAATTCATCCCCCCCCCTGACGCCATATAAAATTCAAAATGATAAGCTTCGCGCCTAGTAACAAACCAATTATGGAAATTAAGCTTCATTCAACCAACTTGGAATGATTTCTAGCACGGAATAAATCTCCGCTTACAATTTTTCAAATTTAAGCTCAAGACAATAATATCTTTTGAAAGATAAAAAAATTCCGCCAAAAATGGCTAGTTAAAAATCTAAATTTGTCTGAAGAAAGAAAAACACCCCGGGCACAAACATACAGAAGTCGGAACAAAAATCTGAATGTTCGGACTCGAAAAAATATCTGAATGTTTAGGCAGACTTGTTATGGCTCAGAAAAAATTCTTGAACAGATCAAAAAAGAAGACAAACATCAGTTTTTCGAAATTGTTTTTCGAACGTTTTGTTCAATACGGTGAATAAAATACAAATTTTAAACGTATAAACGCGCTTAAACGTATGAATCAGATCAATTAACTTCCCTCAATTCGTTTCAGGATGGTTTCTAAGCCGCATGAAATCGCCGCTGATTCTAAGCGTTTAAAAGAAAATTGATTTTTTTTTACGAGAAAAAAATTATTTCACAATGCGGAAAACGTAGTTTTCACACCTTTTATTTTGAAAACATGGTCGGACTTGTTTTGCATGACTTGAAACTATCAAAACTGGCAGTTGAAAGGTCAAAATTTGTCTGAAAAAACAAACCGAGCATAAACATCCCACTTAAATATACACTTGTAAATTTGCACACACGTTTACGTCTCTTGCAAATACAACATATAATCTTCTCAGCATAAAGATACGAATAAAACTGATAGAAAAAGAAATTTTGTCAATTTTATCATGGGTGTAATTATCGTATCAAAGCGACGCTCTGAATGCTCCGACTGTCCTGCAATGTCTATGGGGTAATGATCGATTGCTCAAAAAAAATGAAAAAAAAATCCAAAAATGTCAAAAAAACCAGATCTAACAAAATGAATCAAGCTAGTTTTGAAGCAAAAACATGCAAAAACAAAAGAAAGCAAAATTAGCATCGGAAGAAAACTTTCCAAGCGATAACAAAGCGGGAAATACTTTAGCAGGAAACTTTTAGGCCAAAAGCAACATCAACAAGACTTCAGAATTATAAAAAGATAACAGTTCCCCTTCACACTTTGCTAGTCAAATCAAACAAAATGAGCCCATCAAGCCGACTTAATATATGTCAGAACCTATTACGCCGAAAAGCGAAAATAAAAAGCAGCAAAGTCGAACAAAAAAAATGAAAATTCGAGACTAATAAAAAATTAATAAGTTTTCTTCATCTTCACAATACACACATGAACATTTAAAAGTAATTTGCTTTAGCTCGTCCAAAGACGCAATATTAGGCCATTAAACCAATATAATAAATGCCGAAACCTATCCAGCCGAAAAAAATGTTGTCAAGAAAAAGATGAACAAAATTTTTTCAATCAAGATTTCAGCAATTTGTGCAACCCAGTGAGCAAACGTTTTTTGCTTAACGAACGACGCATTATGGGTCCACTAAGCCGATATAATATAGGCCAAAACCCATCAAGCCGAAAAAAAACGGAATAAAAAAATGTTGCCTTGAAAAGCTTGAACAACCATTTGTATCAAGGTTTTAACATTTTGTGCAGCTCAGTGAGCATAAGAACTATGTTTTCCTTCAAAAGACACAAAATCATGTCACTAAACTAACAAAAGATAAGCTGAAAATATTTGGGCAGCATATAGTTTTTGGGCAGCGAAAAAAAAATATATACGAAGTCAAGGAAATATAAACAGCAAAAGTAAATCAAATTTCTAAAAGCAACTACAAGGTAAGTTGCGCACTGCACAAAAAAAATCAACTATACGATGTGGATCTGACAAAACAAAAGCAGACAAATAATCTGCCGAGATTTTTTTTTGGAGCGCAAAATTTCCGTTTGAAAAACCACAGATCCTGTCAGATTCGAACCTAACAATTTTACCGTCTCAGGAGTATTGTTTACCCCCAGACCAACCGTGGCAGAGACGTACAAAAATTTAATTCAGTATGAATTGAAACATAATTTATCATTTCTAAATTTGACCATTCTTTGAACATAGTTATTCACGAGAAAAAAGTCAAGTACCCGATTGCAATACCCTTGCAAATTTAGAAATTTCAAGTCCTCTTGCAACTACAATGAACCTGATACCATGATCCTTCCTTATATCACAAAAAAAACGAGATAAGGCGCGTAAGCCAGCATATTTGAGCAGATAAACGAAAGTCCGGCAAATCATTTTCACCGGACAAAATTTGTCAATTTCATATTATATTAAAAAAGCGGTATTCGAACAACGGAATAAAAGATGCCAAGGCGCCTGCGTTACCTCTCGATCAAGGGCGAAGGAATCTGGAAATTGATAAAACTCAACAATCAAGCAAGATGAAATTTTGTAGGAAAGATTGTTAACGGAAAAATATATAGTTCCTGATAACAAGACACTTGCTTTAGCAAGCGTAAAACAAGTAATCTGTTTTGTTTAGAACGTCAAATTGTTACAGGAATTGGCATGTGAACCAATAAGGCCTGACAAGCCAATATTTTTTTGTACTTCATTATGTAGAATTTCTCGTTTTACCAAAAAATTGATGCTGATGGGGTGAGAAAAAAAGAGCTAAATTTCCATAAAAAATTACTATTTAAAAAAAGGACTAAACGTCTGTAGATATTAAAACATCCCAAGCACAATTATACCTTCTGTTTTTCGGAATATCGTAATAAAAAGATAAATAACCAACAAAACAGGTAAAGTGAAAACAGTTTGACAGATTTTTGAGTGTTTATCCTGCAAAAATAAACTAGCTTCTATTGAAACAAAAAAAAACTAGAGTAAATACTTTTAATAGAGTTTTTTTGTTTCGACTATGTTTAGGTACAAAAAGGGTGTTCAAAAATGCTGAACGCCAAAAAACTTTCAATGACGCCTTAAATTAGCAGCTTAAAAATATGTTAGCTTTTTTCTTGTTTTCTTTAGTTTTATTGATTTTAGTTTGGGTTAGTTTACTTATCAGATCGGAAATTTAATTGTTTGCAGTTGTAACTAATTCTATAAAAAAGTGTAAATGATAGTATGAAGAGGCCAATTTAGGCGAGTTTTTTTTTATAATCGACTCCATTAACGCAACTTTATTTTGGGGCTCATATGTCCGTAATTCCGCTTTTTAGGTTTTTTATCGACATTCTTCTACGCAATCTTACCAAATAAAAGTTTGTATTTGCCTAACGTTACTGTTTTCATCATTTATCTTAATTTAATTTGAAGTAAAATTTTATCAGATTTTCTTTCAAAACATAGCCTATAGACAGTTGAAAAGGAGTCAAGGAAATCAAGAAAACAGAAAAAAATTTACTGGATTATTTTATTTGAGAAATCTCAACTTCCGGAGCTCAAATCAAAAATGCATGCTCTTAAAGATTTCTGAACTTCTAGAACAACTTATGATTAGCATGTTTTGAAAATAAAATTGACCCAATTTGAGAAAATTGGATCAACAGCTAATTTTTTATAACTTCGCTGGTAAATATGAAAATTACATTCCACCTTCGAAAGTAGAAATAGTTTTTTGTGGCCTTTACATTTTAACTGTTCGATAGTTGATCAAACAGCTAGTCTTTTTTTCAACAAAGGAAATGAATTGAACTTAAAAAGTAATCAAAAGTCAAACTGCGAAAAACTAATTTCATTGACTCTAAAAAAACTGATTATTTTGCTGTTGATTGTATTGGATTTTTGATCTGGTTAAAAAGCAAAAACCATATCAAACGTTATTAGGCTGCGTTTTCGGGGAAAAATTCTCCCTTATTCAATGTTTTTCCTATAAAAGATATAGCCAACAGACAGTTAAAAAAGATTCGATGAACGCAAGAAAACAAAAAATACGGACTTGTTTATTTTCGATTTATAAAGAAAAAATAAAACTCTAAAATTCTTTAAAGTTCATTAAAACTTCTTATTTTTCTAAACTCTTTGTGATACGATTAGCACAAATACTGGATAATAGAATTTTTTTCATTTTACAGGAAAATCTGAAACCAGAAATTGATCAAATTTATCATTACTTGTACATTTTTGCTGTTTAATAGCGGAACTTGCTTCCTATTGAACAAAAATGGATTGAATTCGAAAGAAAACCAAAAATCAAACCGCAAAAAAAAATTAGTTTGGGCGTGAACAAATTATGCGACTTAACTAAAACAAAAATCATCGCGACCGATATAAGAGTCTGAACTAAGTTCATCGACTCTTAAAAATTTTTAGACGAAAATTGTACTTTGTACTGATGAATTCTAATGCATGGCCGCAATGCTTCTTCATTTTACAGTTCATGTTTTTGATTCCTCAATTTTTACATTTTTTATAACTTGTTTTTAAGCCCTCGCAATCAGCAAAAACACTGGATCAGCACTGAATCATCTATCTTCAGTGTTACTCCAGTGGTATTACATGGTTGATTTAGCGCTGATTTTAAGGGTGTTTGCAACGCTGAATTGGCGCTAATCAGCATTAAACAGGCATTGATCAAAGCCTGACTCAACAATGCTAAATTATGCATTAGTACTCATTCAGCGCTAAAATTCGCTGTGAGTTGAAACCCGGTACTTAACAAATCTTTTATTTTTTTTAGTTACATAGTTTTTTGTAATATTATCAAAATGATCTAAATTAACATAACAAAAACAAAGTGAAGGCAAAACACTAGCAAAGCTGAAACAACTATCACTACAACACAGAATGCATTAGCCATATGTGGCATAGGAATATTTCTGACTAATTTCTTAGCTTCAGCAGTTTTAAACGGCCCCTGAAGTCGATACTGGGCGGGTCCACAACTTCCAAACAAAAGCCGTCTGGCCAGACCCAAATGTCTCGAAACTTCTGGCTTGCCTCCGAAAGTTCGACTGAGTTCATCGCAGTAAACTATAGGATCCACTTGGATCGTGTGACGTGGGGAATCGTAGTATCTTGACATGGACTTCTTGCGGTCTGATTCGATGGAACGTATCATGGATTGTTTGTCAGGGAGATGTGTTAAGTTGCGACATAGGGCAACAAACCACTGCGCCTAAAATCAGATTAAAATGTCAAGGCTCAAATGAAAGTGTTTTTTTTTTCACAAGCTTAATAAGACATTCGAAGATGGGCTTGTTACAGACACCGATTCACTTCTCGATGCTCCTGATATTCAAACTGGACTAACCTAAATTTTGAAATTTTCAAATTTACCTTTTTGGCGTAAGAATTGGATTTCAGATCAGGAAAATTTGAATCTAGAAGTCCACAGCAATGCACATGAAATTTTTTTAAAAAATTTATGGTAAAATGCTCTGCGACGAATTGTCGTTTTTTTTGAAATGCTATCAATTGTCGCTTGCGATGGATGATCCCGCGATGTCGTAAATATATACTCACCTGAACTTCGCTGCACATCAGAACTCCACCGCTAGATGGCTGAACAAATCCGATGAAGCCAAGTCGTGTCCCTATTTGAGGGCTGAACACTTGTTTGTACAGCTCTATTTCATTCTCCCTCTTTGAATTCAAAACCATCCTTTTGATTTGATCATCCAGAAAGTCTAGATTAATGTCATAACCAGTGCACATCAAAATAGCGTCGAACTCTTCTCGAGTTCCGTCGTTGAAAGTGACTGTGGATTTCTGGACTTCTTGAATGTTTCCTTTCAGCCGGATGAATTGTCTCTGGGTGTAATGTATGAAAGTGGCACTAACTGTAGGTTGGGTCTAAAGGATGGCAATGTGTTATAATAACTGGCAAAATTGTGAAACATCTACAATCAATGCTGGACGCCCATAAATCATCATTTACTTATTATTATAATTTTTCTTTCGACCATTGAAAATGGGGAGAAAATTTGTGTTTGGCTATGTTTTAGCTTTTCATCTATTTTATGTACTTTTTTTCAACGCAAAACCAGGTGCCATAAATAATCATCGGAATGAGTCGAGTGATATATCATCTTCAAACCCTTTCAGTCGTGATTTGGACAATATTTTTAAAAATTCAAAAAGTTTCCCCAGTGTTGAGCAGCGAATAAGTCATAGAAGATCAATTTTAATCTAACTAGCGAAATTTAAAGTAAAACGGGAAAAACATGCCAGATTTTGTAACATATATCACCTGCAGTGCTCTCATTCTGGGGTTCAGTCCCCACTTGTGGGGGGATCCGAAGATGAAGGATATGACTGACTCGAGAATGAAGTTCAGACATTTCCATGGCAGAGAAAGGACAAACCTAGAATCAGAACTTATGTGAGTTATTTTTTATGTGTAACTCATAGAGTAATTTCGGATAGGGTACACCGTCTGCTCGTCACGCTATCTTATTTTCGGCCGGATAGATTCGTGCAAATTCTTAGTCTAATACCGATCCTAATCTTACTCTTATATCTACTAGTCTCAGGGTGCTTAGCTAGTCTCTGCTAGGCTCAATAGATCTAGAGTATACTGGCTTATTGCGATTGCTAAAGTTCTCTTGGAGAGGTAACTAATTTCTAAGTTTAATTCAAATCTCTCTGGTGCTGAAGTTACAAGTAATTTCAGCACTTACAAATAAGTGGGTTGTTAGTTAGATGGATCGTGATTGGTTAATATTAAATATTTTATAGAGATTAAATATCCAATTTATAACCAAATAATAAATATAGTTTATATTTGGTTCCACCCATCCGGGGTTTACAGAGTTTTGAATCTTAGATCTTCTATCTGTAATGAAGGATGGATGTTGGTCGTTGTTGTTTGACGAGCATCATTTCCTGTTTTGTTCTTGAAGGAGAGCGCTCCAAGAAGCTGGAGTCATCGATAGGAAGTTGTTAGTTATCGTTTGACAAAGACTATGACTGTCAATGAAATCAATCTGATTTCAAGTTGGTTTGCTATGATCGTCTGTTCTTGATTGGTTGTGGAGAACTGTGTTTCGATCTGGTTTGGGAATGGCGTGAAGATCGTGTTTGGAGGGGATGCCTTGTAACTCGGATCTGTACGTATACTTGAACATCGAGATGGTCATTGGTCTGATTCAATGAAGTCCTTTTCTGCGAAGTCAAGTCATACTCTAAATACTTTATGAGCTGTGATTGTGAGCGGCATGTCAGTTGTATTTAGCCATCCTGTAGGTTGAGTGTGATGGGCTCGTCTAGTCTTTGGATGCTCGTTCTTGTGGTTGTTCGTGATCTATGTACTGCATATTATAATTTACATTCTATAAATTTTTGTTAGTTCTTAATTGTTAGTTATGATTTTGATTAATTGTTTTCGCAAAAGCGTTTTAGTTTTAAATCAGTTATTTTTAAGAGTTACTCACACTTGAGTACCTCTTGTCAAAAATAGTGAAGTGGTCACAAAGCGTGGATGTAGCACGGTGGGTTAGGCTGGCAATAGAGCATGCTCAGGACGTCCTCTCTGGTGGGTTAGGCCAGGAAGGGGAGTATGATTTCGTGCTGGTTTTTTAAGGGGTCATGTTTTGTGTTAACTTTTGTGTTATTTTATTTTTTGTTTTCCTTTTGTTTCGTTGGTTGTGTCCTTTTCTCAAAAATCACATTGTTTGTGGTTTGGATTTGTCTTGCGACTTTTTGGTGTTTTATTGTTTCTTTTTTAGACTTAATAATAGTCTTCAAAAGAATAATTTATCCAGTTTTAAGCTGGTTTAATCCGGTTTGGGTACCGTGGGTTTTCTTTTCTTAATCATATGGTTTATGGTGTTTAGTAAGCTGCGTTGGTTAGTTTGGTTATTATATAATTCCATTCCAACCGGGTTATAGTAAAAGTGGAAACTTGTTAATGCTTGTTTGAGTTGTTGTTAGCGCAAATTTAAAACTTGAATTCATTATTTTAAACAATTCTTCGTGGGCGAGCTGTGCGAGTGTGGATAAAATTTCTGTGCGTTTAATAAGAAGTTATAGAAAAGGTTAGTACTGCATTTCATTCGTATGAATTTACTGCTTTTAAGGTGAAATTTTATTGCTTCTGGGGTTAAAAGGTAATTTATTTGCATCGTATTTTAAATTTACTACATTTGGGGGAATAATTTAGAAATGAATTTACTACTTTGAATTAACTTTTACTGCATCATTTAGTGCTGTTGGTTTAATAGAGTTTAAAATGGAAAACAGAGTTTATATTTTTATTTGTCTTTTCTTGTTTTGAAGGTGATCGTGATGTGAAGGCTAAAGAGAATACGAATTACTGAATAAAATGGTTAGTTCGATTTGAATTAGTTAGTTTGAAAATTAATAAATTCATAAATACCTTTTAGTCATCTGGGAAAAAGCCGTGTGGGAAAATGTCGTGAATAGCGTCTGAGGTAGTTAGTAGTTTTGCTAGTATGCGTATTATGTTTTTAGTTTGCAACAGTGGCCAAAGCAATTGCAGTGCTTTGATGGTTTTTAGTTCTTCGGTGCCTACTGCAAATTCATGAGGTGTGTTCTGGATTAGATTATAAATTTTATGATTATATTTAGTATTATGAATGAATTCTAAAATGGGTACTTCTATGGGTTAAATATATTCATGCGGAAAGATTAGAGGTCGGGATTCTTCGTCATTGAAGGTCTTCGTGAGGGGACAAAAAATATACATTTGAGTGATGGGATGATAGTTTCGGAGGATGCCTTGAAAGTTAGTATTTTTAATGCAATACGTGAAGTTTAGAAAAAAGGGTGAGCTGTATTTGGAATTAATGAACTGAAATCTGTGGTGGGGTTGGCGTGATGGTGTGTGTAAATGAAAATGATTTTGGATAAAGCGATAGTAAGTATAAGTATGTGTTTGCTTAGTTCTCAACATGATGTCGTGTGAGCAGTGCAAATCGCGTTCTTTTGGTGTCAGGAAGTGAAAGGTTAGTGAAAATGTTCATATTTTATGTGAAATGATTCATATGCTTGGATGTCTGATAGTGCTTCTGAAATAATGTGATCATGCTTTTTATCTAGTATGTTAAAAGTGAATATGTATGATGATTTAATAAAAAACTTTTCTGTGATTTGTGGATTTGCAAATTTATCTTCATCAAGAAATTGGTCTTGATTAGATCTGATGATGTTATGATCGTAATATTCAATTGAATAGTCGTTAGCGCGGGGTGCAGTGAATGTTTTTAGTATTTTTTTATATCCTACGTATGTAAATTGTCGTGGAAAGATTGCTGTGGTTAATCTGAATAATTCGTCTTTATTCCTTTCAATATCGATAGAGGTGTTATAGAGTGGTTGCGTGAGGGGATTAATGAAATTATAATAAGCTGTCCAATGAAGAGTGGGTATTATTAAGGTTACAGTGTTACATAGAATACATTTTCATCTACAAAATGACGTGCTTCAGGGTTAGAGTCAGATTGATTTAGTAGATATTGGGGAAATATAAAGGTAGGGTTATTTGAAGAAAATTCGTAGTATTGGTGTAGTCTGGATGATTCTCGGGTGGTTCCATCTTTGGATGGGAATGGATGATTGGGGAGTTTACGTTTAAAGGTTCTATAAGCACGGTTAGTACTGTTGGATGATTCTGTGGAAGTGGATGAATGAGCTAATGATGGAGTATAATCTGAAATTGGTGTGGGTGTTGGTGGATTTGATGATGTTATTGTTGATGATAATTGGTGAGTAGGGAGGGTGTGGGGAGATAGCAATTGTTGTTGGAGTTTTATGAAATTATCTAGTTCTTCGGAAAATTGGGTATTATCAGGGGAGTTGTTGGTGGAGCGTTCATTATTGAATGGGGAGTATGTTGGGGTTACTTGAGAAGGAGTGTAGGGGGATGTATGTTAGCCATGGGATTGTATAGGCCGGAAAGAGGGTTTTGAGAAGGTTGTTGAGCTGGTCGGGGTATGTGTAGAAGGGGATGGTTCTGAATCGGCGAATTCGTCGGGGGTTTCAATATCAGAATTATTGTGAATTGTGAAATTGTTGTATAAATTGTGATGTCTGAGTTAGTGTCAGAATTCATGCCGGATGATGTGTTAGCTTGTGGTGAATTAGGTGGCGGAAAAAGCAAAAAATGGTATAATAGGGAGTGGATTTTGGAGGTTGGCAGGGTGGGAGTTTGATCGGTGGAGTGATCCAACTTGTCTGCTCATCGTGGGCTAAAAAAGTGATTATTTTGAGACTGAAAAGTGGTGGTATGGGGCTGTTCAATGATTTGTTCGTATGTATCGTCATTTGAAGGTTGTTGTGTCACCATGTGTTGGATGGGGCTTTGTATGTGGCTGGGTCTTAAGTTCATGGGGTTTGTGATAGCTAAGTTTCGAAAATTTCGTGAGACTAAAGATAATGGATGATTATTTGGCAAATGGGGTGCCGTAGGTCATGCGTTTGTATTATTATTTGAGTCATCTTATGTGTTGGGATTTGTTGATAGTTGATACGCTGGCTTGTCTGTTTACTTGTGTATGTATTGCGCATGTGTTATAGATTCCTTTTATAATGAGAAAAGAAATCCAATAAAATTAAACATTGCGTATAAGATAGTCAATCTTTCTTAAATGTAATACGGCCATCCTAGAAAGGATAGAACTTCGTTTTTCAAATTTACAAAACTAAAGATATTAATTGGTGTTATATCTTGTGGTCGATATTTTTCACCGTTTAAATATATGTAATCTTTGATATCTTTAAAATATCCGCTGTAATCTTGTGCGTAAATATCTGAAAATCCTGCTGTTTCTGCAAATTTTCGTAAATTTTGGTCTATTGATTGTCGTTGTATAGTGTCCATTTGTGTCAGTAGTTCTTGAAACTGTTGTGTTCTAATGTGATGTTGTATATCGGATTTAGAATATATACCGATTGATTGTAAATCGATATTTGGGTTGCGAGCAATAGCTCGAATGCTTTCTTGTGAAAACTTTTTTAGTGGCTGCATGAGTGTAGGGTATGGTGTAAGTAGATAGCATTTATCTTCGTCAGTGTTTAATTGTACGACGTTGTGGCTATTTTCTGATCCACATGGGACTGTGGTATCCCAAAAAAATGTTCGTCTTGAAAGTGTATCAACAAAATGTACTTTATTTTTGTAGAATATGGGGATTCGTTTGTAACAACGTTTGTCTTTGAAAACATATAGTGGTTATACTTTTTTGGTGCAAGAAAATTTGATTTCTTTCCGGATAACAAATATCCTGCGTATGGTATTTTGAGTACTGCTGATGCGAGTGATTGTAGAATTTGTGTTCTTTCTAATTCGCATAGTTGATGGAGTGTTTCTAATTCAGAAAGTGACATTTCTTGGAAAATTCTACTA